GCTATCAAATGCACATAGGACAACTACGGTGTGGGACGATTCGACTCATATCATCCGCCACACTTTTATGGACAACTGGCACCCTTCTGGTCTGACCTTCGATGTGTTCGGACATTGGTGTGGGCCGACCTGAAATTCGGGCTGAAGACAGACTAGTCTGATTATGATGGGTCAAAGAGGATAAAGGCAGTAAGCAGCTGCTTTCAATTTCTAATCAAGTTGATAAGAAATTAACGGATGACAGAAACTGAGCAGAAAAGTTTAAAAGCCTTTGAATCACACCATGGTCGCCCAAGTTACATAGGGGAACGATGCTAATTATGAAAATGGTGATGTGATAATGCTCTCTCTCTCCTTATGAAGGCCGGACTTTGTCGACTTAGACTGTGAATTGGAGGGCGGCTGTTGCTGTTGCTTGAAGAGTACAGATGAGCCCTATGCTGTCATAGTTACACGCGGTTCTCCTGTAGGGGATGAAAACAATTTCATCAAAGTTGCTTCATTTTCGTATGCACGTACCTGTTTTCCCTTATAGCTAAATCTTTGAAGCATTCATCAGGCTTGATTTGTGGCCTGCATGTTTCTGCCCTTAGCGAAGATGGACGGAAACTTAATCAAATCCAATGCGCACACAACCCGGACACTGCCGTACGTCCTTTTATAGGCTTGCGGGCTCACTCCATAAGGCTCGCCTGTAACTTCATTCCTTTAGGTCAGGCTGTAAATTCTTCTTGAGAGGCATCATAAAACAAGAACGACATCACGTTTGAGCCCAGCAGGGAGGCCAGACGACAGCAACCATCCTTCATACTTTCGTTGTCACTAAGATAAGGCAATTTGGGCAAATAATGATTTTCTACGAGGCAAGACAAAACTGAATGAGGCAGTTTATAAGTAGGATTTCGAGATTACCAGTAGGTCATTTTATATAGGAACTGTAATCACCCTATTTTGTTTAAGGCGATAAGAGGACCGGTTAAATTGAATTTTTCCCATAATGTAATGAGTATACCTTAAATTTCCATTAAAGTTCACATAGCCTTGCTTTCCCAAAAGGCATTATCATCCAGGCAGGAATGGACTGTAGTTTTGACCTCGCCTAGGACCCGAATCATAACAGTGAAGTGTATACTTTCGACATGTTAACCACCACACCACATTGCCTTCATAACCTAGCATATCATTGTCCATCCTATTTCCTCCAAACCCTGCCTGTGCAGCCATCTTCCAGGATGGCCTACTGGGTCAAGCCGTGCCTGGTGCGCCACATCTCCTGCCACCGTCACTAGACAGCCTCACATCCGGGCTGTCGAGCACAGCCGTCTCCACTGTCATCACTCCCGGTCACGCCAGCGTGACCGGCTGCACCATGGGCCCGACAACCACCGCCTGCGAGAGAACCTCGGCCGGATCCTCCACCGGCTTGGCGCTGACGGCCAGCCGCCCGATGGACCCAGGAGCTGGACTTACCTCCTATCCGGTGAGGCCTCATCCTTACTCCTGTAAATTCTTTCTAGCAGTTGACATCTTCAGAAGAGGATATTTTATATATTTTTTTTCTAGTGGTTGTTTGACCTTGTTTTCGCAACATGGTCATATTGGTAGGAAGACTAATTGGAACGCACCTAGT